AATGCCGATTGGCTTTTGTGTAGTAGAGTTTGTGACATTCAAACAGGGCTAAATTCCACCTGTTATAATTATGATTTCTTTTTCTCTGAAACTGTTCAGATAATTCAGGTGTAGATCCCTTACGTTAGTTAGAGCTTTACTCCTAAATCTGGTAATTTTAAACTGATCATACTTTTTTTCCATTAGACATGGCCACATAAATAATTTTTGAAAATAGCCTGTTGGTTTTTTACTTTGGTTGCAATTTTCCATGTTTGTTTTCATATTTGCATGTCACGTTTGTTAAATTGGTGATGCTTGTTATACAGTGCAGGGGGACCTGGTGACCCAGATTACCAACTCGCCAGTTTTTCAGTGTTTCAATTTTTTTAAACTGTTTCAAATAACTGATCATTTGTGTGGTTCCCAACCCATGGATCACAGGCAACATGTTATCCAAGAGAGACTCCAGTGTTGTGTACAGTTAAGATAATTTAAAACTCAGCTTGACAGGGAGAGCCAAGTATGATGTTGCTGGAGCAGTATGCTACTTGCTCAGTGGTGTTGCACTTGACACGTTGAAGCTTGGGGAACCTTCGTTTAACCAGAGAACAGGATCTTCAGTAAAGCAGCTGAAAGTATTAATATCAAGTATCTCACTGCTTCAGGGACAGAGCAGTTTCACAGGGTCCTGATCTTCGGTTAAGTAGCATTTCACTAGTAAAGATTTCCCCCTCTCCTCCCACCAATGCCCCAAACTAGAGGTGCACTGGTATATTGATTGCCTATCAGACTGGCACTGATAAGTGAAATTTACATTATTGGCTTTTTTTGGCCATTGTAGCCGATAATATTCTCTGACAACTATGCCTGCTGGCCAGGGCCCCAGGATGTGTGGATTCCCTCAGGTGAGTCGAGGTGACCCCAGATACACCCCCCCCCATCCCCTCGCTGGCAGACTGGGATGGGCTGGAGTGGAGCAGATGCCTCAGTGTCCTGGACACTGGTGTGACGCAGACTGGGGCCAGTGCAGGCACTGTAAAAGGTGCTGAATGCTGTAGACATGACTAGGACTAGCGCTGCCCGGACTGGCCCAACAAGACTCAACCTGCAGTTAATATTGGTTATTGGATCGGTATCGGCCAGTATGGCTGGTTAATAATTGGCTATCGGTTTCAGCCAAGAAAATCTTTATCAGTGCACCCCTACCCCAAACTACAAATGTACGTACGCAGCTAGGAGCCCTTGGCTTCAGATGCAAATATATATATATATATTCCTGTCGCATACACCAAATGGTTGTGTTCTCTTTAAAGTAACAAGAGATAGGTAAGCTTCTCTGTTTGCTTGCTGTCCTGAACAAAGGTTCAGCCATGATATTTTTTTGGAGGGGGGTAAATTACTGATGTAGTCCCAGATAGACCATATACTTTCACTGTGTACATTTTTTACTTGCTACAGTTGTTGTTTGTAAACTAGAGGAATGTGCAAAATGACAGCTCTGAATACATACTTTTTAATGACTGTATTAAGTTAATTAGAACTCAAATCGATTATCAGATTTATTTGAAAATATTCAAATGGCAAGTCTTACTCTGAGGTTGTGCTCTAAAAATTGAGATAAGCTCTTCATGCTAAACAAAGCAGGAGTTCAGTTTAAGTGCAAAATATAAGGTACCACTATATGTCAGTTTAAGCCAAAACTTGAAAGGTTTGTTTGTTAGAGAAATGTTAATCAGGTTTTGTATATCCATTCTGAAAGGTTAATTATGTAGAAAATGTTTATGATCAGCATGTCTTTAATATTGTATCATAGGTGAATCTGGATTGGGAAAATCTACGCTAATAAACAGCCTATTCTTGACAGATCTCTATCCAGAAAGGATAATCCCAGGAGCAGCTGGTAAATAGATACTTTAATCTTTTAACTTGTCTTCTGAGTTGAATGGTTATGTATCTCTAGATCTTGTTGAATGCTGGTATCATCTGTGAGTGGAATACTTCAAATACCTCTTAATCTGTCTGCAGTGGGAGAGGCCCAGTTGCTCATTAACCAGAGGAGGAGGGAAGTAGTGTGTTTCACAGCGGGTATGAGCACCTTGCTCCTGTCAGTCAGCTCAAGTTGGGAATGATATTAATCAGTACCAGAAACTCTGCCCAGCTGTCTTGGAAAAAATGTCACTATGACACATGATGCAGTGGGCTTTTTAAAAAAAAATCAATGGTAAATTTTGCATACTACCCTATTTATGGGCCCTCTAAACATAAATACATTTTGCCTTTGGGCTTATACCGGGGTGGGGAAAATACGGCCCACAGGCCGGATTCTGCCTGCCAACTGGTTGGACCTGGCCCTCCAGCAGGCACCTGGCAATTGATTGTATCCAACCTGGTTGCCTCCACAGCACTCCGCATGGGGCTGAGCCCTGCCCGCTCCTGCCCACACCTATCCCACACTCACCAAACAGCACCACCCCAACCCTGGCCAGCATGTTCAGCTTCCCAGTGGGTCTGGTTCTGGTGTGGCTGCAGCTGTCCCGGTATTGCTCGGCTCCCTTTGTCCCTGCTGTGCCGCTGTAGATAGGCATTACAGGGAAACCTTGGGGGTACATGTGCCAGACACCACATGCCCAGCCAGGGTTAGGGAAGCTACCACTGGGTGGCTCCTGCCCCAGCATGCATGGCTCCAGCTCCAGTTCCTTGCCGTCTTCCACCCACTCTGTCAGCCCAGGATGATGAGCAGCCACCTGTGACAGTCAAGCGTGTGGAAGGCTGCTTGGAGCTGGAGCCCCATGCGCTGGGGCAGGAGCTGCCCAGCTGCAGCTTCACCCCTGCCTGGCTGGGCATGTGGTGCCTAGCACACATCCCCATGGCTGCTGCTGCTTCCCTGCACTGCCTGCAGTAGGAGCAGGAGGAAAAGGAGGAGGAGCTGCTGGAGGTAGGGGAAGCCAAGAGTGGCTGCAGCCATGCTGGGAACAGCCCTGCTGGTAAGCTGTGCATGCTAGATGGGGCTGGGACATTGATGGGGGGATGGGTATAAGGTGGGTGTGGGTGGGAGCGCAGTGTGAGCTTCTCAGCAGGAGCAGACAGGTCTCGGCCCCATGCGGAGTACCACAGGGCAGCCTCAGGCCAGATTGAGGGGAGGCAGGGGGTGAACCGTACTTGCACCCTGCTCAGGCAAGGTCTGCTGCAAGCACCCCCTAACCTCCCTCCCTTCCACACCGCTGACCAGCTCCTGATATGTAGTGTGTGCGGAGCATCCCCCACACACACATGTGCTCTACGCCCTGCCACGTGCCCACCCCTCACCCCCCCACACACGCACAGTATGTAAGAGTAAAACTTTATTTTGAGCTATTATGCAATCACTCAAAAAAATCGCTCAAAAAAACCAGAAATAAGACAAAAACTATTTTTTTGAAATAATATTAAAATGTTATAGTAGATGTTTGATTTTTAGAATATGATTTGTTTTTTATTTATAGTTTGTTAAAATGATATCTTCTGAAAGATTCTACGTGTGTGGTTCTCTGCAGCTCACCAAAATTCGTTAAGTTTTCTTTCAGCCGAGATAATTGCCCACCCCTGTTTTACACCCTGGTTTCTTTCGTTTGATAAACATGATGCTAATGTTTGTTTGTTTTTCCTGCTCATGCTTCCACTGATTAGGATGATGCTATCTGAATTGCATTCTCATTTGGCCCATCTATGCTACTCTTCCACTCCAGAAATTTGATGCTTTTGAAAGACATTTTCTGTTTTTCTTTTCTCCATGGGAATATTTTCGTCCATGCTCCTAGATGCACACTTCCAATTCTTGTTGAGCGACTCATTTTCATTAGCTCACCATGTCAGAGGATGCAGTCTATCGCTTTCTTCCAATATTAGAGAAGGAACTTCCATATAAGGAAGAATATTGTCCTTCAAGGTACTGTGTATTGTCCCTCAAGGCCTTCCTCTCTGCTTATGATCTTACCCAGCCCCTGTTGCTTGGTTTTCTGCAACTGATTTACAAAAATGGGATAAACCCTCATGTGTACCTGTGTCATTTCTCTAGAAAATTCTAGACGTGTTTGACTCTCCTTCTGACATTGCATGGCCCTAAGAAGGCTATCTTATCACTTACCTTGTACTCAAGTCCAGTTGTGGATTATTCCTGATCTTGTCTCAGAAAATAATAAATTTGTAAGACTCTTTTTTTTAAGATCTAGTTCTTCTCTTCTAGAGAAAATAGAAAGAACTGTGCAGATTGAAGCCTCAACAGTTGAAATTGAAGAGAGGGGAGTAAAGCTTCGTTTGACGGTTGTGGATACACCAGGATATGGTGATGCCATCAATTGTCGGGACTGGTATGTACCTGACATATATGCTGACCTACAGAGAAGGTGATCTATATCCCTTCTCAATTTAAAAAAAGTTCATTCTTATTCTCTGATCAAGACTTAAATCATTAGTCTCAATGTGCTGTAGCTGCCTGGCGTAGGGTAATGTAAACTTATAATCAGCATACCATTAGTGGCACCTGTACAGTGTGATTTCTTTACTGCCTAAAGGGCAGATTGTATGTTATAGGAACTATAATTTGAATTACAATTTTTAGAGAGAGAGGTTTGCTTTATTACTTGAAACAATTTTTGTTTGGGTGTCCATGTTTTAAAAGCTTATAATTTTTACATATTCATTCTGAATACTCCAGATCACAAAAGTATCTATACATGGAATCTGTTCCTGATTTAGGTTAAGCATTTTCTGGTATTAAACTAATTCAGAATATGACACATTCAAGAATAAGTGTGTTCATGGAGGAAGCTAGTGGGGAAACTAATGCCTTATTATTTCAGAATAAATTGTGTATTCTTGAAAGAACAATAACCAACTCCCTTACAATCATTATAAGATGCATTAAAAGAGAAAAATAAATACTTATGGAAAGAATATTTGCATTTCTCACATTTAAGGTATTTTTAAAAGTAAAATAACTTGAAGTGTCTCTGAACTTTATCTTTGGCTTACCACAAATTATCTTTTGTGTCAGATCAGGATGCTATAAATTTGGTGTACTACAACCAATTCATATTCTGTTGTATATTTTAAGTATATATGGTTTCTTGCAAAGGGAGAATTTGGCCAAAAGACATCCCTTTTGTACCGAAAGAATAATGGATGAAGAATGTTTCATATGCAGATAAGAAAATTATGCGAAATAGCTAGTATCCCCTCTGTTACCATCACAGAAATAAGAGAGAAATTGTACATGTATGGATCAGTTTTCTTAGGAGAATAAAAGACAGCTTGGGAAGACAAGAGAAGATCCATATGGAAGGGCAGACACTGTATCTGGAGTCTTTGAGCATACATAATACTCACGTTAAAAGCAGGTGGGATGTTAGTTCAGAGCTGTCTTGAGATTCAGATGCAATCTTAAATTTGAAGTAAGCAAGTAGAATCTGAACAATTTGTATTGTTAGGAAACTTAAAGTTTCCACAGAAATAAAGTTGTTGGAGATAACGTTTGTCCAAAATATGAGTTTCTTAAACTTTTAATAGGCACTAGCAATCAGGGCTGTCCCTAGGGGGTGGCAAATCGGGGCAACTTCCCTGAACCCTGTGCTTTGGGGGGGCCCCGCAGGCAGTTCCATACAGGCCCTGCTGCAGCCACCACACACTGCCCCTGCCAAGTACCACCGGCTTTGGCTTCTTGCCACACCCCCCATCTACCGGCTGTGGCCACTTGCCGCCACCACCCCCTGCTCCGCTGGCTCCAGCTGCTCCTCCAGCTGCTCACCATACCCTCCCCTACCCCTCCTCGCCTGGCCCCACACAGACTGATATGCCCGGGGCCCAGCACACCCCTAGGGATGGCTCTGCTAGCAGTTTTACTCTCCAGTTGAATTGTTTCCATCGTGGCTATTTATGCCAAGATTTTGAAATGTGTAGTGTGTATGCACACTGTTAGTGGGGCTGTGCAAAATGGCTATGTTTCGATTCGGCTTCAGATTCTGCTGTTTTGGAGGACAGTGATTCATTTAGGCGTTTCAGATCACTATCCTGTTTTATTTTGGCCGAATCTGTTTCAGACGGGCTACAAGGGAAGCTTTGCACAGCTCTACCCAGCCACACAGGGCTTGGGGCCGGAGGCTGCAGGGCCCCAGTGGGGAGCAGAACAGGACCATGGGTTGCTTGTCTGGGGCGGGGGCCGCTGCCCTACGTGCAGGTGAGGAGACCCCCGCGCAGATCTCTGATCCCTGTCACGCTGGGTCGCGGGGCAGGGAAGCAGCACAGAGCGGCAAGCAAGCCTGCTGGTCCCTGCCACGTGACTCAGCTCTGCAGCGAAGTGGGGCTGTGCGGGGTAGGCAGCGGCATCGAGGAGTCCCTGGCGTGGATCTCTGCTCCCTACAGAGCCAGATTGCATGGCAGGGATTGCCCAGCCCCCAGTTCAATGCCCTTGGATCTGCACACCAGGTTTCAGC